CACAAGTTGTGAAATGTCAACTCGTTTAAAAGACAAAAATTTTAATTTTCACTTCACATGCCTTCTCCCTCTAACCTCCCTTTCTCATCTGTGTTCTCAAACCTCTTTAGTAAGCGCATGTTACCCGAACTTTGCCGGGAGTCGAACCCCCGACCTGCGGGTTGGGAACCCGCAGGCTTAACCATTCGCCTACGAGGCGCCCGTGAGAGAAGGAGCGACGGCAGCCGGTGTGGTTCGTCGGCTCCTCCCGGGGTCTTTCCCGTCCTCCACCTATAGTTAACCACATTTTCCGCTCTGTTCCCGCGTTTCGCTTTCCCGAGTTTACTCAAGAACTATAGCATCAATGTAAAATCAAAACATGTGTGTTTGACTAGTTTTTTGAACATTTAACAGTCATGAAAACTCACAATCGTTTTTGAAAAGTCATAACATGTTATAAAAAAGTCATAACATGTTATAAAAATTCATAACATGTTAGGGAAAAGTCACAACGATTCTTAAATTTCACAACTTCCATGAATTATCATAACAGGGTTGTTACTTTTTACAACACGGTTATGACATCACGAATGTTATTAAAATTAATATCAAAACTGTTATGAATTTTAATAACTTTTTTAACAGTGAAAATAATAAATAAGAAAAAAAATAAAAGTCCTACGCTGCTCCATGTCTAGTTTTGAGAAATGGTAGTCTCGTCGACGTCGTCGAGCTAACTGGCGATAAAACCTCAAAATAAGATTTATCTTTGTACTGACCTGCTGCTAACGGTGCCCGATATCCTATATTTAAAGATATTTTGCTGTACTTCAGCACATGCAAGCGATTTTGTTTGTCTATCGTGTCTTATACTGGTAATACAGTTGTGGCACATTATGACCCGTGACCCGTTTTCACACATCCATGTGGTGCAGTGGGACTACGAAAGTGGACTAGGTTTTTAGCCCCTTGGGTCTTGTGTTCAAAGAAAATGTAGCCTCTATTATTTACGATCAGTGAAAGGCCAAAGATATCACACAAAATCAACAAACGCCATTTTTGAACTGTAAATCCTTGCTGTTGAGTTGAAGCATTGTTAATACCAAGAGTTTTCTTTCTAAATGCACTTGCTTTGTGTGCTCAAGGCAAATGCTGTCTATTGTAAAGCTTTAAATCCTTTGTAATTGCAAAACATTTTTGCTTTTGTAATTGATGCATTCCTCGGCAAGGGTTTTTACTGAGCAGTAATTTGATTTTGCTTTGGTCGACAAGATAATTTATTTGGCGTTTATGCTGTACGTATGTTACTTGGCTCAGAAAATACTCTAGAATGATGATTCACTCCGCGAACTTCTGTAGTTACACTGTACCATGGAGAACGTGCGGTTTTCTCTGATTCGTTTGACAAATTAGCTTGGCGAAGCTTAGCGCCTGCGAGACTCAGGGTAGGCCACCCCGCAGTACACACATGCACTGCAGGCGCGAAGTTGCCTACCCATCAGGCGCCTTGAGTGCTAACCCAGCACAGCACAGACTGCAGGAGGCAGTTTTTTTAACGGCGAATGACGGACGTACTTTCTGGATGATCTCGTACGGGCTGAGCAAGTATGCAGAGAAGTACGTCAAGCGTGGGGTGAACCATCCACCTGGTATAGTCTAAATCCTGTAGATCTTTGCCTTTTCATATTTGCCACTGATATATTGGTTCACGCATCAAAACTTAAAAGTTAAGAAATATATTTTACAATCCTCCACCACACGTATTTATACATAGTTTTTTTAAATATATAAAGCGGTTTTTCATCCGTGTCGGATGAATTATCGGAGTTATCTGCTTGAAACACGTCCCCAGCTATGCTCTCTTGTTTATGTTTATTTTCTCTGGATGATGAGGTATTTCCGAATAGGAAGAACAGGAGGAATATCGTCTGCTCCCGGACCACGGGAAAAACTAATGTTTCCGAGGGAACGTTTTTTGCGCAACCAAACCAGGAAACGTTTGGTGATGCAATCAGTTTGAGATAGCCCCATCGTTTTGCATGGGGTATGTTGCATCAGGAAAGGATCTGGCTTATGGTCACATGATGAAACGTTCCCTCGGTAACGTTAGTTTAATTCCAGTGATCAGAGAGGGCCTTTCTGGAGGCGGCCACAAGTGACGCCCTCTTTCACTAGCCGAGGCTTTCTGATGATCTGGGGAGCAGACGATATTCCTTCTGTTGTTCTTATTCGGAAAATGACTCGTCCCATAGATTTTCCCACGACCTGTGAGGGTATCCTGGCATTTTGCGTGGCTGAACAGTTTGACGCGAGCCCGGGCCGAATGCCACGCGGGTCGCCGTCGTCGGGCCGGCCGTCGTGCCAAACCAGGCGACTCGACACCCGTCGTTTCACTCGTTATTGGTAGCCGTCTTGTTGTGTTGTTGGGGGAGCGGGGAGAGAGGAGCGGAGGTGTGCGTCCAAGTAGAGCATGTGAGCTGGCGGGGGGCCAGGGGTGGGGGTTGGGGAGAGGAGCGCCCCACATGCCCATCAGATAGGGCGATACATGACAGATCCTCCCCCCCTCCTCCACCCTCTCCCCATCCCTCCTACCTGGCGCCCGAGTGACACCTCCTAGGACAACAGAACACACCGTGTGTGTAGCGCGTTGCGAATGACTCGCCAAAACCGAAATACCACCGCTCTGTCAAGGCATCACTCGCTCGAGTAGGCTGCCTCCCACCCTCCACCCCCCCTTGCGACCGCCCCAGGAAGCGGGCCAGCAGGCAAGCTGAAGAGTTATTGGGACAACATTGTGACGGCGCGAAGATGGCACTCCGCGAAGCGAAGCAGGCGTCGGCATAGCATGAGTCGCCCGCCCCGCGGGACAGACACCTGCCCCGAATAGCGACCGCTCAGTCTCCTTTCTCTAAAATTAAACTCGTGAGTACGCAGAATGGATGGGCGGTGCCGGGGCGTGGCGTGGCGTGGCGTGGTGGGGCGGGGCGGGGCGCAGCTTTCCGCTCGATATGCTTTATGCATTATAGAACAATCCTTGCGTAACTGTACGCCTGTCGTCGGCTGAGCGCCGCGAGGAATGGTCGCTGGCGGCCTGGCGCGGCGTGGCCGCCCTGTGCCAACAATAACACACACACACTCACACACACACGCACACACACTCGTGCAACACAACAGGCTGCAGAGCCATATTTCAAACGATACCAGGGGGGCGCCACACACTTAAAATTAGCTTTTGATTCAAGATGCAGCTGCTGCCGAAATGCCTTGGCGGTGGGCCCGGGGCGGGCGGGGCGGCGGGGGCGGAGAGGAGAGCAGCCCTCCCGCGACGGGTTGAATGGGGACCAACAATACCGGCATCACCCGCCCGCCAAGGGCGGGGAGGGAAAG